CAATGAATCTCAGATCCAAAAAACGAAGCAAAAAAAAAAACTCAGATCCAGTCGAATCTATGAAACCCTAAATCAAATATATGTAATCCGGCCACAGAAAATCCCAGATCCCCCAAATCGAAAGAAATCCAAATCCCCAAATCAAAAGAATCCCAGATCCCCCAAATCGAATCTCAAATCCCCCAACAAGAATCCCAGATCCCTAATAATGAATCTCAGATCCAAAAAGCGAAGCAAAAAAAAAAAAAAACTCAGATCCAGTTGAATCTATGAAACCCTAAATCAAATATATGTAATCCAGCCACAGAAAATCCCAGATCCCCCAAATCGAATCTCAAATCCCCCGACAAGAATCCCATATTCCTAACAATGAATCTCAGATCCAGTCGAATCTAAACGAATCAAAAAAAAAAAAACTTAGATCCAGTCGAATCTATGAAACCCTAAATCAAATATATGTAATCCAGCCACAGAAAATCCCAGATCCCCCAAATCGAAAGAAATCCAAATCCCCAAATCAAAAGAATCCCAGATTTTCACCAAAAAAAAAAAAAAGAATCCCAGATCCCCCAAATCGAATCTCAAATCCCCCGACAAGAATCCCAGATGCCTAACAATGAATCTCAGATCCAAAACACCTACATCAAAGGAAGATGCTTACCTCAAAAAATTTCTTCTCTTCGCAGCTGGTGTAGTCGTCTTCCTCGCGCTACTAGCGTCGATGTCTTCCTTCTTGCTCGGCCGACTTCGTCTTTCTTCAAGCACCGCTACCGGCGTTGCCAAGCACCGCCGTCTTCTTCCTGCCCGTAGCCCTTGTCGCCGGCGTCGTGTTTCTCACACCCGTCGTTGTCGAGAGGTATTTTGAATTATTTGGGAGAGAGAGAGGAAGAAGAAGAAGAAGAACAGAAGAGAGCAGTTTTGGAGAGTGGGAGAGAAAGGAAAATGAAATGATGGAGAGAGAAAAGAAAATTAAACATAAATGAAAAGTTTGGGTTTTTTTGAATTGTAAAAAAAAAAAAAGGAAGAGGCTTGGTTCAGCCGAGCCACAAGCTGCTCTTCTTCCCCTCCACCGTCCGATCGCGGCTCGCCTACGTGGCTCCTCATCTCATCGTGTTAGTATATGCTAACTACTAACACAGTTAGCAGAATAACGCTATTGGCAATATATGGAGGTTATTCCTTCAGGTGTTAATCAGTGTCACACGAGAAAGTATTAGTCAAACTCAGGCAGACACTGTATGCTCTTTCGTCGTTTGATTTCTGGTATAGATATTTGCTTAGTGACCAAAAATTGTTGATTGTTGGTCTAATGAATGTACATTTCGTGCCTCTGTTTATTCTTAATTGGTGTATAATGTATCCAATGTGTAAGAAGTGACGCATTTTCTTCCGAGATAATGATGTACAGTAGCAAATTTGATACATTATTTTGACCACTCATCAAATTTGTATATCACTGAACTTGCAGAGTCTTGCTTTAGATTCACATTCCTGACGATACTATATGTGCTATGTCAAAGAGAATACCCTACAGATTTCGTTTATTCAAACAAGTGTCATGTTGAAGAGAACCATGCTATTTTGTTTATTCAAACAAGTCCCGACAAGGACCGCAAACTTAGAGAATTGAATCATAGTAGAAGTGCTTGATAGTGATAAATATTGTATGATCACATAAAACAACAAAATGTATACCACCCATATACCACTAATCCCAGCGCAGAGAGCGGGCAATGAAAACTAGTGTTAGTTATACGTAAGGACCCCCTCAAATGCATAGAGTACTTTTTAGTATTACTTAGGACGCCAGCTAACTTACCCCTATTAACTTGAACCCCACCTGACAAAAAAAATCCATTAGACACGTAAGTTTTACCTAATCTTTCAAATTTAGACCCCATCCTCTCACCAATATTAAAATAATTACTAGTATTGTAACCCGCCCGTTGGCCGGTGGGTGGTCTTCAGGTGGTGGACTCAATAGGAGCTTTAGTTTCTATTAAGAATTAGTAGGTAATTGGTTTTGATGGCAATGAAGTGTGATTTCAGAAGATAGTCTTATATCTAGTTGAGAATGTTGATTGCGGAGGCCGGACAGTGCCTCTTCCATCCCTTCGACTTCTTGTTCGTGTTTCCTTCCACTTTTGCAATGTGAATGGGATGACACATGCCCTTCTTCGTTACCTTAGGATGAAGTCCAAAATTAGAAGTTGTTTAGATGCCCATATCCTCTAAAAGCACAAATCCTATGTTGGTCCTTACACAGAATACTAAGTCGTATGATCTTACCGTCCCGTTAATCATTTTGCTAACCCAATCGCTGAACAAATAATATTGAAAATTCCTACAATTAATACTTTGAACAAAGAAGAGATTATATTTTAGGGTTAATTCCACTGTGAAGCCCAAACTATTCAAAAAGTATCATTTGTGAAATCACGTTACGTAATGAATGATATTTTCGCTTGAGGAACATTAATAACTCATTGCATAAATCGTAAGCGACTATGGAAGCCCTACATGACACGTTTGATTTAACTATTTCGTAAGAAATAATTACCGTTACATAATTTGTAGATGATAAGCGTTGTAGAATGAGGTTTATGTAACACTTACGAAACTGATGTCTTTCTTACGTGATCAATAATAATATTGTATTACATAAAATGTAAATTGACTACATAATTATTACGAAACACGTTTAACTTAACTGTTATGCAATAAATATTGGAGTTTTGTAATCTTTGTATAATGTATTTTTATTTTATGTAATAGTTCTAAAATTACATTAATTAATAATCAACTACATCGTTTATGTCTAACCATTTTAATGGATTTCAAAACTCAATTCTCCTTTGACCTACACAAAAATCAGGTTACTTTTAGTCTATTACAACAAAAAGATCAAGATCCTATAGGATGTATAATAGGCTAATGCAAATGGAACCAAGGAAATCATTGAAATCAACAATTCTGTTTACTAATAAGTTACTTTCATGGTAAAGGTAGAGAGTTAGAAGAAAGAATTAAGCTTAATATTCTAATGAAATCCACCCAGGCATAAAAAAATTAAGAAAATCTAACAATGCAGTGCTTGTATTAGTATTAGGGAGATATATAAAGGAAATTAATGATAGTAAGAAAGATGGTATAATATGCTTATATACTATGCATTTTTATCAAATATGTACTCTACCTATTGTTTAGGTCAAACATGAAAACACGTCCCTTTTTTTAAAAAAAAAGTTATTAAACATGCATTATCGTTAAAATTTCCATAAAAAATCGTTAACCACGATAAAACCATGGCTCAGATGATCTTATCTCCAAAAAATGGGAGAAAAATGTCGCTTTTGTCCTTTAAATTTTCCAAAATACAATGACATATTTGATGTAAAAAATAGTAAGGAGCATGTTTGATTAAAATGCATAGCAGAGAAGCATATTATACGTACACCTATTTGAAGAACTCTCTAAGCTAGATAGCTAACAGCCTAACACATAATTTTGAAATTGCCTCTACCTATTGTTTACATCAAACATGCCCATGTTCTATGAAAAAATATCAATCATGTCATTCTGTTAAAATTTTCATAAAAATCGTCAACCACAGTCGGGTTTCCCCTTAATTTATTTATCTAAGCCTCGTTAAAGTGAGTTATTAGGTGTATTGGGCTATACAAAAGAAACAAAAAAATAATAATTTAAATGATCAAATATATTTTAGACATTTGTATCACCCGAACCAATGTTCGATCATGGTTGACTGTATTTTATGAGAAATTGAACAAAATGACATGTTTGATAATTTTACCAAAGTACAATAACATATTTTATATACAAAATAATATAAATATAATTTTATTTAAATGCATAGTAAAAACACATATTATACCAATAATCCTTAAAATAAGTATGTAATGTAAGCTACATAGCTAACACATCATTTTGAAATTGAACATCACCCGTTCACCTAACCTTTCAGATAATTTGTAATTGTTACATAGACAATATCTGATTTGTTTTTTTTTTGTTTTTTTTTTAATGAGTGGAGGGATAAGGATCATAGAGGCCCAATTAACCTGAATTTGATAGCCTGCCGAATAATATTACTCGGCTTTCTGAATATGTGGCCCAGCAAGCAATTGTTTTTGTTAATTATGCGCAGAGATAATGATGTCGCTATGAAGATGGAGTTACTTTTATACCCTGCCCGAGAATAGCGTGGAGGAGCGAGAAGGGTTACGTGCCAAAAGTGAGTGAAGCGTATAATAATGTAGTTTGGCCCTGCTGTAGTTTTTGCAGAAGCAGCTTCTGACTGGAGCTTTTAGATAAGTACTTAAAAAAAAAGAGTTGAGTGTCTGGCTGTAAAACTATTAGAAGTGCTTTTTAATATAAGAGGTTGTGTAAAATAACAATAAAGGACTTATAATATAAAATATGAATAAAAATTCTAAACAATAAAAAGTAGTCGAAATGGATCTTATTAGATTTATTTTATATGAAATAATATAATTTTATAATTTATTTTATTTTTTAAAAAATGACGTAAATGATGAAAAATTATATTTTCTGAAATAAAATTAAAATATGGTAAGGATAATCTTGTATTTTCAAAATAGTTTTTTTGCAGAAGCTCCAAATCGGAGCTTCTCATTTTATGTTATACAAAAGCACTTTTTGGATTTTCAAAAGCCGAGCTTTTAGAGGTGTTTGGCCCGGCTTCAGCTTTTAAACTCGAAAAACACTTCTAAAAACCGGGCTAAACATAGAGAATATTTGTTTTAGATTTAGATTAGATTAGGTACGGAACGACCCTATAAATTCAAACTCCATTAAATGCACGGACTTTAGTATTAATGATTTTTTAAGAACCTCGATTAACTCGAAATTTGCCTATACCATGGTAGCTGGCTACGGCAGATTGAATTTGAAAAGTCGCACCATATATATCCTAAGCTAGGAAGCCTCACATAATTCGTATCCACCAACCCACCCAAATGGAAGGAAGTATGGCGGCTCTCAACTTCCTACCCACATCAATGGCCGGCGCCACCCTCATGATCATCTCAATATTATTCCTCCTGATTTCCCGGCAATCAAAACGACGCCGCCCTAACCTACCGCCGAGCCCGCCTTCCCTCCCGTTCATCGGCCACCTCCACCTACTAAAGCTAGCACTCCACAGAACCCTACAAACCCTTTCAACCAAATACGGTCCCATATTCTCCCTCACCTTGGGCGCCCGAAACGTCGTCGTAGTCTCCTCCCCATCTCTCGCCGAGGAATGCCTCCAACAAAATGACGTCGTCTTCGCCAACCGCCCCCACAGCATCCTCGGCTGGAAGATCCTCGCCTACAACTACACCTCCATCGGGGCGGCGCCCTACGGCCCGCACTGGCGCAACCTTCGCCGCCTGTCCGCCGTGGAGCTCCTCTCCGCCCCCCGCCTCAACTCCTTTCTCCACGTCCGTACCGACGAGGTCACGCGCTTGGTCAACGGCCTGGTTGCTGACGTGTCCGCCGGGTCAGGTTTTGGTAAGGTGGAGATGAAGTTGAGGCTGGTGGGCCTGTCGATGAACATGGTGATGAGGATGGTCGCCGGGAAGCGGTACTTTGGCACGTCGGAAGAGAAAGAGGGTCGTGATGAAGAAGAAGAAGGGGAGGAGTTTAAGGAGCTGATAAGGGAGGCGTTCGAGCTGAGTGGCACGTCGAACCATGTTGATTTTTTGCCCGTGTTGAAGTGGGTCGATTTCAGTGGACTGGAGCAGAGGATGTGGAGAGCTCATCGGAAGATGGACGCGTTCTTTCAGGGTTTGATTGACGAGCATCGGAGCAGCAGACTGCAGAAGGAAGAGGAGGAGCAAGAGGATGGTGTTGGTCGTTTGAGCAGAAAGACGATGATCGATACCATGTTGACTTTGCAGGAATCCGAACCTGAGAACTACTCCGATGATATCATCAAAGGTCAGGTTATGGTAAGTGACATATTTTTTTTAATTTCTTATATAAAATGAATTTGGCTAAAATGTTTCTTGTATTATTGATGATGATGTTGGTGCAATTCATTATGGAAAATATTTTTATCCGGAGATAAAATAACTGTCTTATATTCATGATGAATTCATATTCTTACGTAATTTATCAATTATTTGCGTACATAGTTTTTTTTTTCATGGTGCAGAAGAATCTTTGCATTTATTATATAAACAAATGCCTCAATTATTCAGGGGATGGTGCCGTGTCATGCACTACAATGCGATAAAAACAACAAATGAACAAACACTTTCTTTTCAGTCTCCACCCAAACTTGTCCGTTTCCAATTCTTTTATCAGATTTGTGGATGGACGGCAATTAAATATTTCCTTTCTTATTTGTTTGGATAGTCCTTGATACTTGCAGGTACAGATACTACAGCGGCGACAATAGAATGAGGCATGTCACTCTTACTCAATCATCCAGAGATTCTCGACAAGGCCAGAGCCGAGATCGACAATGCAGTTGGCAACAATCGACTGGTACAAGAATCTGACTGCATTGATCTTCCCTACCTCCAATGCATCATCAGCGAGACATTCCGTCTATATCCGGTTGGGCCGCTTTTGATACCACACCAATCTTCAGAGGATTGTACCGTTGGAGGTTATTTCGTTTCAAAGGAGACAATGTTGTTTGTCAACACATGGGCTATTCATAGGGATCCCACAGTTTGGAAAGACCCCACGAGATTCTGGCCCGAGAGACATTCAGAAGGTGAGGCGAATGCTTATCAATTGCTGCCATTTGGTGCGGGGAGAAGGTCATGTCCTGGCATCGCACTTGCGAACCGTACTGTAAGTGTGGCGTTAGGCACTTTAATACAATGCTTTGAATGGAAAAGGGTCGGTGAAGAACTACTTGACATGACTGAAGGACCGGGACTGACCATGCCTAAACTTGAGCCACTGGAAGCTTTATGTAAACCGCGAAAGTTTATGGAAGATGTTCTTATCACTGTGCAAGGTGACAAATAGATCTTATATACTCTTGTAACTCCTTTTTCACTTTTTGTTGTGTAAGTTTTTGGAAGACAACTACAATACGAATATCGTACTAATAATAATTCCCATAAAGGACTATGTTAGGGTAAATTGCAAGGTTGGTCACTGACATTACTAAAAACGTTCATGTTTGGTCACTGAAAATATTTAATTCCATTCATGGTCACTAAAATTAATTAAGTGTTCCAAGTTTGGTCACTCTCTGGTCAACTCCACTAGTTTTATCTGATGTGGCAGTCAACTTAAATAGTTGACCGCTAAATTATTGACGTGGCAATTAAAAATACTAAAAATAAATATGTAAATTTTTCCACCTCATTATTATTATATATATTAAAAATATAAATATGTTATGAAACTAATGGAATATAAATAACTACAAGAGGAGATTAGAGAGGGAAAGACACGAGAAAAGAGAGGAGAAGAGTTCTTCTTGTTCATTCTTCACTTTTGATACAATAGTGAGCTCTATTTATAGGCACACTTCGGTAACCACTACATCCTTATATCAATGCATATGAATGAGAGATAACGATGTCGGAATAGGGGTTACATGTAACTCCCAAGTGGGCATCTAATGTGGTAGGTCATTGGTCATCCATATATCAATATTTACATAATACTCCCCCTTGGATGACCACTAGATTGAATTATGATATCTCATACTGCCTCGTTAAAAACCTTACCAGGAAAACCCAGTGGGAAAAAACCATGGTGAAGAGAAAAAGAGTGCACTGCGTATGTGCTTCCCCTCAAGACCACATCACTTCAAATCTTTGAGTCGTTGAACCCAAATTTAATGAACGACTTTTAGAAAATTGTTGTCGGGAGTGAGTTAGTAAACAATCTTCTAGATTGTCAATTTGATGCATGATCTTTATATTTTTTTCATAAATGATCGTCAGGATCATTTCCTTTGGAAATAGTTCACAAACACAAGCCTTTAGATACGGTGGATCACAAAGTGTAACGAAAAAGATTTAGGACTTGCCTATTATAGTTTGTTTTTTTTCTCTATGAAATAGTTATATCACCATATGTAAGAGATAGCTCGTCTCCGATCAACCATTATGAGGATCAAATGGTATTCATCAAAACTGGATAATGATAACTCATTCCAACTCATCTCTTAGTCTAGCTATTTTTTCTCTCCCCCTTAATGTTGGAAAAGTGATTCATCAAAATAATAATTTCACAAACAAATTTTTAATTTGGGATTCTTACCTAACACAAATTCTCAATTTCCAACGATAATCAACTTAACATATTGTGGTGGAGTAATTGGGATGTATGCGGCACATCATGATATTCTCATATGAGAAATGTTAGGTTTTTTTACCAAAACCATTTGTAAAGAGGGGGGGGGGGAACTTATGATAAATTGTTGGTTAGATGTGAACCAATACTATCACGACAAGAGAACGGAAGGCTCAACTTGTTCTCATAAGCAAAGTGATGTTTGATTGGATAACCATCAAAATGTATCCATATTGAGGCAATCGATCTCGCAAACATCGGGTTGCGATTAGATAAAATACATGTGATCATCCATTTGATGCAGCAACCCATAAAATTCACAAATGATCCACGTGACTAATGTATTGTTCTGTATACACGTCCATAAAATCTCAAGAGATTTGCCAACTCTTTTACAAGCGATGATCAATTGGTCTATTCTCCTTGAGAACAAGCATGACATAATAACTCTTTTAGTTGAAGAGTTCTTTAACTTCTCATATGATGTTCTCATGAATTCTCAAAGAACTTGTTTTCACATCATTATCCGGGATTTTCTAACCGGACCAACCACATTACCAAGTTATCAAATCTTATAAACTTCTGGTTTACACTTTATGTGTACTGATAGTACTAATATCACATAAAACAGTAGCTCTTCTGGAGCTTTTACATACTTCGTTATTAAATTTTGCCCTTCGTGATCTTATGACTTGGTGTGTCATTAGTAGGCACATGTCCATAGTGATAAAAATATCATCACAAATTGTTATCACGAGTACATAATTTAGTTACTTTAAGTAACCAAACATAAGCTCTTCAGAAGCTTTTGCTTATTTATGTACTCTATCATATAGTGTATATGGAATTTTTTCAACACTCATACTTTACAAAAACATTCTAAAATAAGAAATGAGAATATTTCAAACTTAAGACAAAAATGATGAACTTATCAAATTAAATTAAGCATGAAAAAATAACGACACAATAGAACATAAAAGAAAATGAGAAACATAATACTACAATTATGAAAATTAAATAAGCTTTATTTGGAACAATACCATCAGTAACTAGGTGATTTAAAATTTATATATGTCTTCAACATTGATAAAAATAATTATATGTGTGTTTCATTATACATTCCAATGTACAACTGCTGCATTATATTATTATGACTTTGATAATGCAATTGTTGTGTCATCCTTATTTATAATTCTCCTTTTTCTCCTCTTTTCTCACTGTTGGTGAAAAGATCCAAACAATACATTTAACATATATATAATTATGCTTATAGCTCCATTCACTTCGGGGAATAGATTGTTTCATTCACTTCTGGGATTGAAAATGTCTCAAGTGCAATAACATTTTCATCTTTAATGGAGAATATACCAACTTATAATACAAAAAATATGTTCCATAATATTGATATTGCATGAGCGTATATGAATTAGCTTTTCCCTTTGATTCTTGGTAGAATAAGGTCTTTTGCATAAAACGGGTACGAGACAAACACATTTTTCCATTACAATGGTAACATACATAATCAATATTCTTGTTACCATGTTCACTCCTTTCTTTGCCTTTGGATTCTTCAATTTCCACTTCTGAGGAATATATTGGCTCTTGGAACTTGTATTTTTTTACATATCAACGTAGGATTGATAAGAATAGGATAACACGGAGAACTGAGAAATTATCTCATCACTTATATTACTTTTCTTGTTAATCCAAATAGATATACGTGATAAAATACCAATAGATGGTCTACTACGAGAAAAGAGTAGCACCCGTCTTGATATATTGCAATGAGATAATCTCAACACAAATAAGACAATAAGATAAGAAATGAGATAAGGTTTACATACCTTGTCATATTGTGATCTTACTCCAATATCTTAGATTATGTCGAGAGTCTTTGACCAATGATAATTTTGGCAGAGTTTTTGTGCTGGTAAAGTGTTATGAAACTAATGGAAAATATAAATAACTACAAGAAAATATTAGAGAGGGAAAGACACAAGAGAAGAGAGAGGGGGAGTTTTTCTTGTTCATTCTTCACTTTTGATACAATAGTGGGCTCTATTTATAGACACACTTTGGTAACCACTACATCCTTATATCAATGCATATGAATGAGAGATAATGATACATGTAACTCCCAAGTGAGCATCTAATGTGGTAGGTCATTGGTCATTCATATATCAATATTTACATAATAAAATATTCATTATCACCACCTTCCAATTTTGTCCACAAGATCTTCGTCCAATTCCATCGAATTCGTAGTCCCTTCTGTTTTCCTCCTTTGAACGGCAACCACCACCAATTGGGGAAGAAGAAGAAGAAGAAGAAGAAGAAGAAGAAGAAGAAGAAGAAGAATAAGCGAGGGAGGGAGGGAGGAAGAAGAAAATGATGGCTCGAATTCGGGAGATCTGCTCCAGAAATGGGTGCTGCCAGAGCTTGATTCAAAGGAAGAAGAAGCGGCGCCGAGGGAGGGGCAGGGGGTTCTAGCTGCAGTGTGGCACCGGATGGATTCGTCTCCTGACACAGAGGTGGCTAGCGCAATGTCGATCGGTGTTGCATATGACCCAGTGAAGGACGATGTTACACAGGGCTCTTCCCAAAAGTCAAAATGACTATTGTACCCTTGGCTAATTTTTTCAAATTCCATCGTAATATCCATGAGGACTAAAAATGCGAACTCTCTGTTCAAACGGTGTCGAGTTTCGACATAAATTGAGTAAGTTACGTACGTTAGTTGAGTTCCAGATTAAACTCACCTGTAATTTATGAAATTTCCAAAATACCCCTTGAGCTAATTAAACCTAAACTAACCCTAAAAGTCCAACCCCACTCGGCTTGAACCTGAAACAAATAAAACCCCAGCAGTTGTTTTCCCCATTCCCCACAGGTGACAACAATGGGCAAAAGGAAAACAAAGAGGGAGAAGACCCCAACCGTTGCAACTCCCCTCACCTCACGCCACCAACCGGCCTCAAAGTCCCCCAGCTTCTGTATTTTTGTCCCTCGACCAGGAGCAAACCCACATCTTCCAAATCACAGGCAGACAATTGAGTTAGCAGCAGTAAAGGCCAGCGAGGAAGTCCAAATGGTCTCTCAACGAGAAGGAAATAAGGAATTGAGAAAGCTTGGCTGAGAAATACGGAAAAGCGTTACTGGGGAATTTTTCTCTCGTTTAGCGAGAGTCTCGGAGCGGCGGAGCTAGGGTTTTTCCTAGGTTTTCCGAGAAGAAGACGGCGATTGATTACTACTTGAATAAGGATCTCTATTTCTGAGAGGAATAGAGGAACCTGGGAAAGAAAGAGTATTATCTACGGAGTACTTGTGTCACACAACTATATAAATTGAAGGCAAAGAAGCTTTTGCGGATACAGAATTGCGAGGCAAGCAAACCCTAAAGTTCTCAAACTTCTTTTGAAACTTTGGCATACTGCGTGAGTCTCAAGCGAAACAATGGACGAGTTACAACCTGCTGGAAACGGAAGGGAAGCCTTCAATAGGGAACCTGAAGAACTACGAAGCACTGCTGAAAGTCTTGAAATAGATCTGGACAAGATCAACCTGGAAGATGAGGATGATACACCGTTGGATGTGGAGGATGGTGATGTTGATGTCCTCCGAATGGAAGCTGTAAGACAACTGGGCCTGATTGGTCGTCTGTTAGCTGAGAAACAACCAAACATCAGATCTTTGAAAATAGCCTTGGCTAAGGCTTG